AGCTGACAAACGCTGAAGGTGGGTCTCAAATGTTGGGGAATATACAACGACATCGTCAAGATAAAAAAGACATGTTGACCATTTGAACCCTTGTAGCAGAGAGTCCATCATGCGCTCAAACGTGGCTGGGGCGTTGCATAGCCCAAATGGCATAACCTTGAACTGATATAGGCCGTCTGGAGTTACAAATGCAGTCTTCTCTTGGTCTTTTTCGTCGACAGCAATCTGCCAGTATCCGGAACGTAGGTCTATTGTGGCAAAGTATCGGGCGCCGTGGAGACAATCGAGAGCGTCATCGATGCGGGGTAACGGGTAAACGTCCTTTTTCGTGATTCTATTCAGATGACGGTAATCCACGCAGAAGCGCCAGGTGCCATCTTTCTTTTTAACGAGCACAACGGGGAATGCCCATGGGCTCGAAGAGGGTTCAATAATTCCTTTGGCTAACATCTTGGTGACTTCTTGTTGAATTATTTTACGCTCGGTGGCAGACACCCGGTATGGTCGCCGATGAATGGGATGAGAATCACCTGTGTTAATGCGGTGCTTGACGAGTGAAGTCTGGCCGAGTGGACGGTGGTCGACGTCGAATATGTCGCGGTATGAAGCCAGGAGGCGGCATAGCGCGATTGACTTCTCAGGTTTGAGGTCCGGGGCGATCATGGAGCGTAAGGTCGCATCGAGGCACGTGACATCCTGCGAGTGATGTGGGTGCTCTGGACATGCGTCTGCCGTAAAACAGGTGACGTGGTCGTCAATTAAGGGCCTTAGTGTGGCGACCGAAATTCCTTGGGGTAGCACTTGTTTTATGAAACCAAAATTGATAACAGGTAAATATGTTCGGTTAGAGGCCATGCTTACGACAGAGTGTGGGACAGTAATGTCACGCGCCAGGAGAACATCAGTAATCGGCGTCACGATATAATCACCGTCAAGCACGGGAGAGGGTGTAGCCAATTCGATGAATGTGAGAGCTTTAGGTGGTATCCGGAAGAAGTCAGTGGTGCACAAGCTGTTCGGGGGTTCAGGGTCAGAATCCGGGAGAAGAGGAAGTTCTAGGCAGAGAGTACCGGCGGCACAATCGATGAGGGCAGAATGCGTCGATAGGAAGTCCATGCCGAAGATTAGGTCGTGGGGGCAATTTTCAAGGACCGTAAATAAAACGGGAACATGGCGGCCGGCAATACTAACACGAGCGGTACACATTCCAGTTCCACCATCAGCGACACGGAGGGCTTTAGTTGCTGCAGGCGTGAGGACTTTTTTGAGCAGGCGACACAGATGAGCACTCATTATAGACACTTGAGCTCCGGTATCGACTAACGCCGTCAAGGAAATACCGTCTACATACACCTCAATCAAGTTCGTATCAGTGGGGAGCGTCAATGGAGGATTTGGATCATTCGCAAGCGATGCAGCACTACCTCCCGGAGCTGCATGATCTAGTTTTCCGTCCGAGAGGATCCACAGTTGACCGGCGACGGATAGCGGCGTGGTTGGGGCGATGGGGAACGGCGACGTTGTGGTGGCGGCGAACGAGCAGTGGAGCGGCTGTTGGGGATGTCGGAAGAAAGGTACACACGACTGGGTGAATACCGACGGTAGTCCTCGTATGGTCGATTAGAGGAAAATTGACTCCAGTTTGAGGGCGTCCAAGTGCTGCGGCAGTAGCGGGAGATATGGCCAACTCGGTGGCAGCGGAAGCAGATCGGCTTGTCGTCTGCAGTTCTCCATTCCGCCGGATTGCGGGATCGCGGAATAAAATGTAAGTCATGGCGTGGTGCATTTGTTGTCATTGGTCTGGAGACGGGTCGGGACACAGAGCAGGCCACAGGAAAACCAAGCTTAGCAATTTCCTGCCTCACGACGGCTTGAATAACGGAGACCGGCGGAGGCGTTTCTGCGGCGCCATGATCGAGCGGTTGTGGAGGAAATGGTGCCGGACTTGACGCCTCAAGCTCCCGTCGAACTATTCGTGTCACGCTGTCCTGCATGGGTGGTGCGGCACCGATATCGGTGCAAGTGGATGTAACAGCCGTGTTTGGTAGCCGCGTAAATTGAGGCAGAACACGGCGGCTTTTGGCCATTTCGAAGCGACGGCATTCCTTGATAGTCGTATCTACGGTCGTGACGTTATTGTAGACGAGCAAATTGAAGGCGTCGTCCGCGATGCCCTTAAGTATGTGGCCCACCTTGTCACGCTCTGTCATTTGTTCGTCGACTTTTCGGCACAACGCGAGCACATCCTGTATGTACGAGACATACGACTCTGTTGACGACTGCACACGAGTGGCGAGTTCTTTTCGCGCTTCCATTTGGCGACCGGACGGGTCCCCAAAGATGTCGCGTAGTCGCTCCTTGAAGGTATCCCAGCTGGTGAGCTCGGTCTCATGGGCGTCAAACCAGACCCGTGGGGTGCCGTCCAAGTAAAATATTACGTTGGCGAGCATCATGGTAGGGTCCCATCGGTGTGTGTGGCTAACACGCTCGTACATACGGAGCCAGTAGTCGACGTCGAGCCCAGGTTGTGCGGAGAATGTACCTGGATCACGGGGGGTGGGCATCGTCAGGTATGTAGTGGCTGGAGCTACAGATGGAGACGCTGAGAGGCTGTTGTCATTGGTAGCCATGGCCGGAGACTGAATGGTGCGGCCACTGCGAAACTTTGTGGTGAAGACGGGGAACGTTCCACCTCCACCAAATATGTTACGGAAAAGAAGAGACGCCGTAACGACGAGGCTGGGGATTAGATATATTCCAAACCAGCGGTAATGGCGTGCCCGGTTCACCAGCGATCGAGCGGAGACAACCCTTCGTCTTCCTCGTCAGGCACACACGCGCGTCGCCCCCTAGAATATCAGTATACATGCATGTAGCAATATGTTGTCGTAATCGATTATAACTTCAGTCACTTGCAAATTTTTCCTTAAGTTCCGGACCCTAAAATCAACCGTTGCGTTCACACAAATAATTCTGAACAATCATGAAATTACAAGAAACATGCAGCGAAGAATGCCGGTTGATGATAATCGTAACAAACTCTCTATCAGATCTAATTCTTATGTGATATTTTCAATTTCTCCAAAAATGACGCATAAGTGCGCGCTGAACCTGGTTTTTAAAATGTCCTGTTAGTCATGGGCCTAAAATGTTTGCTACTGATGAGGGCTGTTGATAGAAGCATTTCATTTTCTGAAAAAACAAACAAAAATGTTATGAGGAGCATCGTAACTTTTACATTGTCGAAGAAAGGTGCTCTTTGTCTTCAACTTCTTTGTTAGAGCAAGTAGTACTGTTGCTAATGTGAGAATATATTGTTTTTATTTACTCTCTATCAATTCAGGCTCGAGAAGATACCATCAGAACTCGTAACGTCATTGCAAGCAATAATAATGTCATGGCCATAAGCGTGTGCAGGATCCTTTTTACAGCAAAAGCTGTTATGAGATCACAACTTGGGCCGCGCACAGCTGTCCGCCGCCACCGCCGGTGTCCGTAACCACATCGCGCAAATTAAGGAAAAAAAAAAAAAAGAAACCTAGCACCAATGACACAGTGGGCCTCGAACCCAGGTCCGCTGGTGACAGCCCAATATTCTACCACTGAGCTACGCCGGTGCTGTTTTTTTTTTTTTTGAAGCATGGAAATATTGCTTGTGACTTTTTGGCAAACTTTCCTTAGGGAGGCTTGATGCCGGGAAGGCAATCGGGTTTATACAATTTATAAAGCATTTTAAAACAGCGAAAGAACAACCACTCGTCGCTATTAATCAACGTATGAGGTTGACTTTGCGACCCCCTCTTAGGTGACCAACAGAAATCTCTACTGGCCTTAATCGAAGTTCGTCACACAAGTGTGGCTAGTTTGGTGAGTGCATGAGAGAATTTCGTTGTTGTGTGCTTTTGCATTCGTGTTTGCATTCAGAATGTGTACACAAGTGGGGCAACGTACGCAAGCGTACACAAATGCACGCGCAAGCTAATATATTCCCGTGCACCAAACACACAGGCAAGGTGCGAGAAAACGCACGCAGAAGTTCATGATGAGCGCCATTTCCCGTCGTGCCGAAATAAATAAATAGTTGGCCAATGGGCGGACAGACTTGAAGAGAGTTGCGCATTAATGACCAGAACGTTCCCAGAAGCTTTTTTTGTACCAATATTATTGATGGATTGCTAGGAGTTACCTTGTCACCCGATCTATGAGCACTTCACAATGTACAGTTCTCCCGTTTGCGCTGGCGTCGTCTTAAAACGTGCATCATTAACACCACTAAGAGAGAAAGAGATAGATAGGGAAGTGAAGAGGAAAGAAAAGAAGGTTAGACAAACTTTGGTTTTGTTAGCTACCCTACAAGTGGGTTGGGGAAAACGAGCAGTATTAGATTATCTATATAATAGATGAGATAAGGCGGGAAAAAGAATGGGTGGAGCGTCTGGTTTGTATACCCTGCACTTGGAATAAGGAAATGAAGATTGAATAGAGACGGAGAGCAGCGCACGTACAAAGAAGACCACAGAAGTCGGATGTATGCTATGCGTGGTTGCGTTAGGTGTATATGTGTAATTTGGTATGTGTCATGCCAGTGCTCTAAAGTCTTGTGCTCGATGTTCAAAGACGAAGCGTGGCAAGTCGGGAGAACCGTCGCAAAGTATACATACATTACTTGTTCGCTTCATAATCGGTGACCTTGTATAGAAAAAGATATTCGCGCCTCAATACAAGAAGAGGTGGTAAAGAAAAAAAAAGACAGATAAAGAAAGGTAAATTTGCGTGTTGAATGATGAGTGACTGATAGATTGTCGCAGCGCAGGTGTTGTCGAGTCCCTGATCTGCGTCTCCTTCTTCTTCGGTTCCGCGTCACACGCGAGCACTGGCGGGCGAACTATTAATTCGGTTGCGAAATTTGCGGGGGCGGGGCCGAGAGGGGCGCCTGAATACGAAAACGTCACCTTGAGAGAAGTCGTATATAACGGAGCAAGTGTCGGTGACGAGGCACAGACGCACTTCACTTTCGAGCAGCAGCACTCGAAGACCCACCGACCCCAGCCATCATGATCAAGGTTCTGGTAGGTATCGACATCGACTTCTATCACCGCGTTCATCCGTCCGCACTTAGTTGTCGCCTCGCGTTAACGAGAAGTATCTCTTCTGCTACGGTAAATTGTGTTACATCTCCCTGCTGGTGTCAAGTAACACGCTAATCCACTCGGCTAGGCTGTTTGGTACTGACGGTGCATTTACAATACTGTAGCGAACACGCACTACAGTGGGAGAGGGAATCACTGGGCGGTTTGGTGTTGCGTGATTCGAAATACAAGTCGCAAAGTAAACGACGGACGAAGAGGGAGACATCCTTTGTCCCCCCTTTTCGTCCATAGTCTACTTTGTGCCTTCTATTTCGAAACGCAGTCCTCTCTTCGTTTGTCCTCTCTTCCTTTCTGTTTATTCGTGCGCTCGAACTGACAGTTATACCATGCATATCCAACTAGACCAACTTTCGATTCTGTTGCAGTACAGACTACACAAAACGTCGTGCCGTGCTGTCTCTTATGAGTGCTCGCTAGTATTATGAATTTATTGAGCTAGACAAGAATCGTGAGTGTGTAAAGAATTAAGTCATCGAGCCCCGAGAGGGGTGTTTGATATAGTGAGCGATAGTCAACACTTCAGGATTTACTGTCGACATTCAGGGGCGGCAAAACTAAAAAAAAAAAAAAAACTCAATCATATTTTCATTTGCGGACAACGCGATACCATTATCGTAATAACGTCTTTTTATATATATTCGTATTAAATATATTTAGCTGAAAACATTGCTATGAAGAAGCTCTTCACATTTATTCATAATGAAACCGCCAACGCTGTAAGCTTCAAGCCCACCATTTAATACTCTGAACATTGAAATTAACACATTGTAAACCGTCCTTCAAAACAAATGCTAATTGTAGGTTTCTACTATTTGGAATGCCATGTGAACGTCTGCAACTTCATATACTCTTGCAAGGCCACTACAAAGTTTCGTTGAAGTACCTCTGCACAATCTCAAAGATTCGTACTCGCCTTGTATAGGTTAAACTTCGTGGTTTTACGTCGACAGTTATGCAGACCGAAATAATTGTCTAGGTGAGATATCGAATACATTAAATGATTTAGCCACTATGTTAAAGCCATACAAGTACATCACTGCATCTTGTCTCGGGGCCACTGGAAGTTTACAGTGTGTGAAACTACGTCGATATTGCTGCCAGAAAGTAGCTTTATTAACAACGCGAGAAACTGATGCAGACGCCGAAAGCCCGTTGGAACCTGATCATGTTGTTATTCTCCCTACGAGCCCCCGTTCTTTATTAAAGCACTTTTTTTCCCGTACAAGTTTAGGGGAAGATGGATTCCTGAAGTGTTGACTCTTTAGCAAGGAATACCGATGGAACTAACGTTTCCGCAAGTGGACCCGCCAGAGAAGAGAGAAAGATAACTTCATTTAGTGAAGTAGTCCCCATGTCGAAACACCAACTCCAATACATTTATTGTTAGTGATTCATCAATATTTATTACTTACAAAGACAGATTAGGATGAGCACTGCACAATAAATATTTCCCGAATGACAGACGCAGTCGCCTTGTATTCGTTGGTGCTATCGTTTTTCTTAATGTAACCATGGTTGATCTTGCAGATCCTCCTGGCCGTGCTGGCTCTCTTCGCCGTCTCGCAGGCTGTGGCGGCACCACAGTACTACGTCGCTGACGGCCTGTACTACGGATACCCTTATGCCGCCTACTACGGCGCACACTACCCTTACTACTACTACGGACGCTAAGCGCTATGTAAAACTCGAGCACCGACACGTCATGGTAAGCACGCTGCTTAGCCACCCCGCTGGGGCCAAAATAGACCAGGCTTGTAACGTTTGCGTTAATTATAATTAGGACGCTCGTAATTAAAAGTTAGCACTAAAAGAATACACTTATGACAATTGATTCAACGCAGATTCGTTGTATTCTATCCAGACTTCTTAGGTCGTCTGCAGAAAATAAGCGAAGATAAATATGTAGATATATTTTTCAAACGTTTGCATTTGAATAAGTCATCACAGTCTACATTGTCGTATTTCATCTCTTATGTACTCCAGTTATAATGAAAGATCGTCCAGCGATAAACAGAGGAAGTCATTGAGAACGAGTGTTGTATTGGTTTAGGGTCATCAATGCTACGTTAATGACTTCATGCAATTAGTCTGGAAGATGACCCTTGAACCTATATCATTTAAGACCTAATTCAATCAAAGATACCTTAAGAGACCTATGTGTTTTTTTTTTGATGGAACAAAGCTTGACGCTGTGTGGTCTGTTAACGAAGCTTCGGCGTATACAGACAATAATTTTGTCGAATTAACGACAGTACGGTTGCGAGATGTAATGCGTCGTCTTACTGCGAGATATATTGAACTCATCCTAGAGATTATGTGTGCTCAAAACAAATTTCAATGGTCTGCACAACACGCACAAAAAGGCCATATACCAACAACTTGCAATATTTGCGGGGTCGAAAGTGAATCTCCGCAACTTTCACGATGCTCATGCATGCTTACGTTCTCTTTTTCAGGTCACTTTTCCGAAAGCAACTCAACTTGCTAACACATCCCATTACTCACAGTCACTGGCACTCTTGAAGAACGGCCTAGTCATTCCGCCATGTGGATCTTCATTCAATCCAGTCGGGCTCGACAGAGCTTACCCACCGCTTTCCCTTCGGGAAAACGTCTCACGATGCCCCTTGTTCTAACGCCGGGCTTTCTTCAATGTGGTCACTTGGTTCTAAAATAACAATAAAAAATTTCTAACCAGATTTTAGGCTTATGACTCGCTGATTTATAAATAAGAATGAGAACCTAACGTAATATTATGTGTTTGTATTGTGCGGTCCACGTTTAAAGTGAATGCAGCACTTGGTTTCCGATATTGATTACCACTGACACATATTGCAAGGTCTCGAAGACAAGTTCTTTGTGGGTAAAATGGTGGCTTATCGATGACTGTTTTCGGAAAGGGAACAAATATTTTTTTTACCTTTCTTACTTTTGGTAATTGTTAGTTCTTCACTCTAGCAGTGGATCGGCTAGCATGCCCACAGAGCACAAAAGAAACACATTTTTTTTACTTTTCCTACTTTTAGTAATAGTAAGATTTTCACTATAGCAGTGGACCGGATTACGCATGCTCACAAAGCACATGAAAAAAAAGCGACACTGAAATAACACCCGTACTTTCATACTCTTTCACTTCGTTTTTTTTTTTTTTTTTGCGTACGTGCTTCCGCTCTTCTTTTCTCTCTCTATCTCTTTTTTTAAAGGGGGAGATGCAAAACTTTGCAGCATGGTAAAAAAAAAAAAGGGAACGCAGCTGATCCGTAGTTGAGGGTCCGGGGAACACGCGAGCCAAACATCATGGCGCAGCACATGGCCCCCAATTTGTTATAAATTCTCCAAGTCATTTAGCAGATTTGCACAGCCCTACATTAGATGGACAATTATGGGCAGTCCAACGGGCCTGCGAGCGGCTGTATGGTTAGGTCTTTCGGTGCCAACCTGGGAGAGGCCCGCTTCGAGCTAGGACACTAGTACCATCTATTGGGCCTTAATAAAGCTCTTTCATCCATCCATACATCTAGCAATCATTCTCGGACCCTTCTACAAATGATGCCATGTGCCCAAACTACTACGCCATACACCCAATTCATGATCAATGACTGAATTGAGAATTGCGGGCTGCAAGTCATTGCGGCCGCCACGGGCCCATGCACGGTCGCCTTCACACTGGAAGTAAGCAAGTAAGCCATGTGTTCGAAGAAAAAAAAAAAAGGCATGTCCAGGGTCATGAATCTAACTTTTACACGATGCCATGGGAAATGCGCCCTTCTCTAGTGGATATGTCAAGAAACTTCTCCTGTTATCGAAGACTTTTGATTTAGCAATTACAGTTATCCCGGCCCTACCAAAACCCTCTGAAAGCGCCAGAGGGCAGCACAGAAAAATTAAGAAAGAAGCTAATTGCGCGTGACGTAACTTTTTTCTATCATTCTATCCGTTTCCATTTACTTTCGAGCGGGCTCATCGAGACGAGAGAAGATATAGAAAGCAATCACAACGTGCAACAAATCACGGTAACCTCGCTCGTATTTGACCGATTCTAGAAAACTTAGTAAAGGCTTAACTCGACTATGCAAAGATATACGCAGTGTGAGCTATATTTGTACGGACAGACGGTCGCACAAATGGACGGATGAACTAGCGAGCGAACTCACGCAAGTCGAGCGCCAGTCCATTATTGACACGTCACTCCAGAAGCTGCCAGGCCTTCTCTGGCGCGCCAGCTGTGCGCCGTGTCACTTCACTGATCCTCGGGCATGTGCAGCACGGCTCTCGATAAGCCACGCGAAACGGCTCAACCTCGGCCTATTCCTATTCTGCAATAAATGGTGGCGGTGGATTCGTGAGGCAATGAACTCTCTTAGTGATGCCATTCGATGGTTACTTGGATTGATGTATGAAGTTTAACGTCTCAAAACCACCATATTATCATCAGAGACGCCCTAGTGGAGGGCTCCGAAAATTTCGACTACCTGAGGTTCTTTGACCTGCACCCAAATCTGATAACACATGCCTACAGCATTTTTGCCTCCATCGAAAATGCAGCTGCCACAGCCGGAATTCGATTGCGCTACCTTCTGGTCAGCAGCTGGGTAACTTAGTCACTAGACCCCCGAGGTAGAGCTGACGGTTACTTGGAGAAGTTTTGCATGCCTTCTTTAAATGTGAATTATAACGTACATCTATAATTCTATTTATGAACGTATGCTTGGCTATATTGCCCCTCGTGCACAATCGTGTGGACTTGATAGCAAAGGTGGTAACTCTGTCACTTTACCAAGATAACTTTTCACGTTGTATTTACCCATAGGGAGGGCCAAAGTTCCCCGGAAACTTTTTCAGTGAAGTCATCGTTGAAAATTACTTCCTTGATGAACACATTACAGGCCTTAAGCAAGGAAGTGCTCTGACGACGTTAGACTTGTTACGTTGAAGGCTTTGCAGTTGCGTTGCGTGAGGGCAGTTGCTCGGCAACACTGACACTTGAGCGGTCTCTTAAGCTCCGGATAATCGCTTGCTATATATACCCTTAGACATTCCAGATAGCACTTGTACCCACCATGATGGTTGATGGATGGCGATCCCAGGCGATCCCAATCTGATACTTGGTGTTCGTCACTGGTCAATTCAGGGGTGCGATTCTTGATATGTTCACCTTAAGAACATGTCCACTTCGGCTGAGCGCATTCAATTATTCGAAAAAGTGGTGAGACAGGACCTCATGACGCTCCTGACCGAAGTGACGCTCTGAATGCAGCAGCACATCCCCAGCGCCAAGAGAAAGTGGACGAAATGTATAGTAACAGGGCACAAACAAACTTGGCAAGGTATAACGTACTTTTGAACGTGTTCAGCTGTCTGACTACGATGCGCGGAATGTGTACAGGTACTTTCCGCATCCAGGTACGTTAGGAGGGTGGTCGCTTGCCCCTTGAGGTGCCTTGTGTACAATTGTATACGTTAACTTCGGGGGGGGGGGGGGGGGGATGTCACACGCCGTGTTTTTTTTTATTTAATACCCTCGCTTGAGGGTCATAACAGGGAGGGAGTACAATATGAGTACAAACTGAACACCTAAAAAAAACCACTAAGCAATAAACACAGGAAAACAGAATGGGCAGTACTTCAACCATTACCAAAATAAGCATCAATTTCTCTGTCAAAAGTTTGCACATCGCTACTATTAATAACATGTTGGGGTAAAGAATTCCATTGTTCTATAGCATCCGGGAAAAATGACCACCGAAAGATGTCAGTGCGAGCGCTGAAAGGTTCAATGGGGGCATCATGATTCAATCTAGTGCTACGTTTTCCGGGAAGGCGTATGTACTCGTCTTTAGGTATTTTGAATATCCCTTGGATTATACGAAAGAATGTTTTAAGTTTTTGCTTTCGTCTTCGAATTTCCGGTGATTCTAAATTGCATGAATTTAGCATATCAGTTACTGAATCCCACCTTCTATATCTAGAGCACACAAACCGAGCTGTATTTTCTTAAATGACTTGAAACGCAGTGCGTACATTCGTGGAGGCCAACCAAGTGGACAACTAACGCCTATTTAACGTCATTGTGCTGCGTATTAGTATAAAAGATGACTTTGCTGGAGACGCTATACCACGTTCGACCGACGACTGTTTGCACGTACCCTGTTCCAGGAACAATTTCAAGAGCAGTTTTTTTTAGCTAAAAAAACGAATGCAAACAAAAACAAACTGCGCATGCATTTTAGGCCTAATGTTTGTTTTTTATGCAAATATTGACACTTACTGATTCCAGCATATTTAGATATCATATTACATGCTAATTAACACTGACTTCTGACATTCGCACAAAACAACACATTTCTTAATTTTCTTTCCACGTATATAATACTGTGTGCCTTGAAATCATGCCATGAGAAATCGATGAATGTTCAGACAGTCCATCATAATTCTTGCCTGAAGGAGTCAAACCTATAATTGAAGGGTTAACATGATTAGACTTTATGCGCGGCTTCCAAGATGTGCGTCCCCCGAGTGAATCTCTGGGGCAACATTCGTTTCGGTGAAGGAAAACGAATTCCATCCTTCTCATTTGTGTCGAGAGTTGTGAAAGCTTCGTGACGTTAAAATGACACTTCGAAAGAAGGACCGGAAACAGTGTGGGGGGGGGGGGGGGCGCTCTGCTTGCCGAGCTACAGTCAATCAATGAAGGTCAAAGTGGACAGTAAACAAGGAAAATACATTGAAAATCGCACCCCTGATGTTATGGACAGGCGGCGCTCTGAACGCAGTGATGATAGAGTCCATGGATGTTTTTTTTTGTTTTTGAAAAGTACCGACGTTCTTTTAATTGAACCGCCGCGCACTGCACATTCTTCTCCCGCCTCTCGGGCCGCCCCTCGAGAAAGGTTACGATCAATGCGCGTCTTGTCAGCGTGACTCAGCATTCTCGATAGAAAAAGGGCCGGCGTCTACATGTGGCTGTTTGGGAGAGGACATAGATGGGGTTTCGACACTTGAGCAAGGCGGGTTAGACACTTTGAAAACGGCATGGAGGAGATTGTCGATACTTATCATATGTTAAGGGACATTTAGGTGAGGATTTCGTGTAGGCTTAACCAGTTCCGTGGATTAATCAAACGCTCACTCTAGGTGGCGACTGGTATATCCATCTGTCACCACCGAGACTATGGCCACCGTTTTCGGTCACGGACAGGATGATGTTTCGCTCAGAAGCAACGACGCCAATGTCGACATCGCATTCGAGGTCGACGCCTGAATTTCTGCGAAACGAGCTCTTTAACGCTGTCGCGTTAAAATTAGGTTGCTTTAGCACTGCAATCAGTTCAAGTTGTACCAACATGATTCATGCACAGGGGACTTTTCCCAAAGCAGTTTCAAGACATGGTGTGGCTCTGTAGTAGAACATCTGACGGATAGCAGAATGCCTGTTTTAGGTTCCTGCCGGGATTCTCATTTTTACTATATGGATTAGTTGGGTTGACGCGGCAGAAGCCGCCTTTTACTGACGCTCTCCCA